CATTCGCTGCAACTCAGTGGACAGTGGACAGCTGTAATTTTACAGATACTAGGCACAGTGAAACAATGCATTACAATGCCTATATTTCCTACCTACCTGATATATTCATTATCTTAACACATTACCCTGGTTGGATGTAAGGAACTAGAAATATGGAAGCTGTTAATGCTCACTTGTTTTTTTAAAGTGCAAGTACCTGGACCGTCACCCTTATTCCTCCTACATCAACTTAGTGAGATACAAAATGCAGCCAGTGAACCCCAAATCTGTATGATTGTTCATGGACAATGATTCACTAAGCAGGAAAGCATACAAAAACCTGGCAACTTTGTTGCTTGTACCTTTATGGACAAGTCAGCAATGTCAGATTCCATATTTCTATTCTTACAGTTTCCCTTAACATGCAAGGAACTAGCAGTGCCAAGTAGTAAGACAGGCCAGTACACAATCTAGTATTCAAAGTATTTACAGTATATCATAGCTTTGCATTATTTTCTATTTCATGTTATACAGACATCTGTGAACTGTAAGGAAGGAATAGACTGTAAAGAAAAAAGGGTTTCCAAACATAAAATTTAATAAAAAATAGCTTACCTTCCACTCATTCCAGTGATTCTTTGTTTTTTTTCCGTTCAACTGGTGATTCGGCCAGTTCATGGACTTTGGGGCTTCCAAAGCAGGAACATCATTGTCACCTAGTTGCGTGATCCCGGTGAACTTAAAGCTGAATTGGAAATGCACAACGCATCAGCACATAGAGCTTGGAGTCCAGAGGGAGCATATGGCACCATAGGATGTCAATGGTATCAAAGAGAGACATGTACCCACCTGTTTGTGCAGAAAGTGAAAGCATTCAACGAGACTGAGAGTAAATCAAAGGCCTGCTACAAGGTGGAGGGCCTGTGTTTTGTGCCAGACATAGAAAGACTGTGTGCCCCACTATGGGTGGTGATGAGAGAGTTCTCTTCACTCATAAGCCACTGTCACCAGCAGGGCTGTACTGATTGTTTTGATGAACTGCCCGTCAAATTAGATAAACTTTCATTGATGGGGAAAGACAGCGAGGGATCCACACAAAGAATATACCCACACTGGGCTGTAATGAAGACTACACAGGGCTGTTAAATGATGGGTTGGCTTTCACAATGGAGAGAACAGTGACAGCTAATCATATGGACTGAAAATACAGGGCAGAGGCTTGTTTTCAGTTACAGTAATTGCATGATCTCTATGCACAGTAGGCATTGCTGTTGAATGCAAACCATGTTTAAGGTAAGCCATAAAATGACTATTGCAAACAAAATTTTGCATTGAGTTCAACTTTAAGTATCAGCATTTATACACACAGCTGCCTTCATCAGGATACCTATGTATTTGTATTTACCGAGATCCATTCATGCACAGCAGAGACCATTAACACAGATTTCAGCACTGATGCGGTGTGGATGTAGATAAATAGCTTCTCATATATACTTCAGAAATCATTATCCCAGCTGAGGGATGCAAACAAAGGGCAAAGTGCTGACCACAGCAAGGTACTTGCATCAAGTGTGAAAATGACAAGGCAATTTGTCTATGGTGTCATGTTCTCTTCTTTAAAGATGGATTTGACTGCAAAATGCAAGACATTCTGGCTATATTATCAGTTATTGAGTCTGTGGATATTTTATCTTGACCTGGAGTATGCCAATAACTCCTGATTTTCAACACTTTATACATACACACCAAGGAGTGATGATGAAGCAAATCTAGTCTGTACTAAGCATATAAAGTCAACAGAATTGCAAATGAGAGCAAAGGCTGTAACAGAGATTCAAGAGCAGCTGTGCTAAACATAGATGAAACCACATGCTAGATTGTGTAAAGACAACTCTGTTAGGAACCACGTAAATTCTACTAAGGGCCTCACTACTTGACCCCACAAATTGTACAGCATAACATAACTGGACTGGAGTATGAAGGGCCTACCATTAAATCTTTTTTATGTTTACAGCGCAATATAGTGGAAGATGTCCAGCTGCAACAGGTGACCGAAGCAGTCAAAATGGATCTTAAGGTCTAACTGTATTCCTCTCTAGCTCTGAAATGTTGATTATTGCTGGATTTTCAGCAGTTTTCAATGCAGGATTTCACAAACAGGGTTCTGCAGAACCAAATGGTTCCTCCAGAGTTGGGTAGGGGTCCTTTGAGCAGTGAGCAATGGCAGATTTCCTAGCTGATGGTTCTTGCATAGTTCCATTATTCCATTGCCTACCAGTGTAAGGGGGCATATGTCCCACTGACTGCCATTGTAACAGTGCATTATTTCCACTGTGTAAGGAGGACCTCTCTCCTGCTTAGTACCAGTATAACGGGCCCCTCTCTCCCACTAGCTATCAGTGCGGGTGTCCTTCTCCCCCTGCTGAACACCTGTGTGAATGTGCCCTCTATCCTGCTAACCAACAGTGTAAGAGGATCCTCCCTCCCAATAACCATCAATGTAGGGTGGCCCTCTCTCCTCTAACCACCAATGAAAGGTGGTCCTCAACCACTAACAATATTAAGAGTTACTTAAAATTGCTTTGGCTACATTCATTTCTGGTAATTTTTCAATATTATTATTATTTGTTTAATTTTATGATTACTACTTAAAAAGACTCATCAAAGTCATACAAAGACACAGAGGTCATACATCTATACACTGGGCCTTCTCTATTGTTATCCTTATGGTCTTCTCTCACTCTTTTTTTTATTTTTTAAAATTCTTTATTTATAAACAGAGAGGTGAGATACAGAGAGTACAATCAAAATGGATGGGCCACAAGGCCGCAGAACAGTTCAAATCTAGAAACCTGACAGTAGCATCCATGACAGTAAATAGCAAAGAAAACAAAAATAAAAACCGGTGGAAGCATGTAAAGCATTGCCAACACATATTTAGAATACAGTACATGTACATTCTGCCAATTCAGGTTTTAATCAAGCTCTCTTCATCTCATCCCCTAAGGAATTTTGTATTTTTATAACAGGAGGGAAACATCCCCATTCGGCGGACTGTATGGTCCAGCCCACTGACGTGGATGGCCAGCACCATTCCAGCCCACTCTGGAGGCGTAGACATATATGAACAAAATAACACAACACAAAGCAGTACAAAGAACGTGAAACACAGAACACATAAGGGTAGAAGGGGAAAAATTCCCAGGTGTCGGTCAATTCCAGGTCATCCGGCCTGGATTACTCCTAGTCGTAGCACAGCGGAATAAAAGGGTCCCTAATTGGGAGCTATCCCATCTTGTGCCTCAGCCCCGGCACTCAGTCCGGAAGTCTGCTGAATCCCTGAATACGTACCACGTACTCCAAGTAGCAACAAATTTGGCCTGCGTCCCATTCAGGGAGGAGGTCAGGTCCTCCATCAGCTTAATCTCCTCCACTCGTCTAGCCCACATCTCTGCCGATGGCTGTACGGCCTGCTTCCATAAGGCCGGAATGCAGGCCCTTGCTGCATTCAGCAAGTGGATCAGCAATGAGCATCGGTATTGTTTATGTGAAAGGGGAGCCAAGTGGAGGAGATACACCGAGGGTGTGAACGGCAGCGAGAGGCCCGTGATTTTACCGATCAGTGTGGCGATCTGGAGCCAGAAAGGTCTGACCTTTGAGCATGACCAAAACACATGTAATATCGAGCCTGGCTCATCGCCACACCGCCAACAAATTTCAGACACAGATGGGTACATAACGTGGAGGGTCGTGGGTACTCTATACCATCTGGTCAGAAGCTTATATCCCGCTTCCTGGTACTTGTTCGACACCGATAACCTGAGGGCAAAACATATCATACGGTCCACCTGTTGAGGGCTGAAGTCTACTTCCAGGTCATTGACCCACTGTCTCACAAAGTACGGGTGGGGGAGGTCGGGGGGATGGCGTAGGCATTTCAGCATGTGGGACAGGGTGTGTCTAGTCGGTTCTGCCCTCAAACATATGGTTTCAAATTCTGTCAACTGCCTCTGATGGCATGTTCTTCCCGGGAAGGAACATAGGTAATGTCTCGCTTGTAAGGTGCACCACAGTCTCAAGGGCGGGTCTGTGAGCAGCTACATCTGGGCAACCTGTTTCCAGCGATCTGCGTCTCTGAAATGATATAATCTAGTCATCCCTGATGTCTCTAGGGCTTTGGCCAATGGATTATGTAGACCCGGAGGGAAGTGCGGGCTCCCCACTACTGGCGTCATGGGTGATGGTAATGGAGATATTCCTGGGGCCGGGAATACCTTGAACACCACTAGCATCGTGGCTCGCACCAGTGGGTTCGTCCAAGAGACTGTGGTGTCTGACTATTGTGGTGTCTCTGTTTAATGCTCAATGCTGCAAGTGATGTCAGCGTTGAGAACTTGTCAGGTGATGGTGGGAAAGGGCTTTTTTTTTTCCATAAGCCGCATGACTGAACTTGTGAGGCAAGTCATTTGAAGGTAACAAAGATGCCTACATTGTTTGCTGAGGTATATTTCACAGGAAAATACTAAAGTCTGTGTTACTCAGAAGCCTGAACCACTACTTCAAACTAAATCAGAACACCCAGGTCCGGATAATGCCTCATGCAGAGCTCAAAGAACGGATAACCCTTACCAAGAGGTCTGCATCACAGAGAGACACTAGAGATACTAGTAAAAGGTACATTTGAGGCTGTACCACTGCTCTAAAAATGGAAAACACTCTGCAGTTAATGGGCACAGTACACACAGGTCTGAAACACGCCAAAATACAGAGCTTATAGCAAATATAAAGTGCACCATAATGCCAATGGTCACATTCCAGTATACCTTCGCCCCTCACAGCATGAATCTTCAGAGACTGGCATACACCAGAGGCTGTGACATGGCTCTGGGTCTGTAACACGCTCTGCGGCTAACAAACTAGTTCACTATACTGTATGTCTGGGGAGCACCACAAGGGCTTTGTGCCTGAGGGTCACATTACAGGAAGGCCTTAAATTATTCAAACCAGCGGGGTCTGGGCACAGTCTCCAAGACAGAACCAAGGATTAGCAGTTTTAGATAGCTGTTGTGTGGAGATCAGCTCAAACAGCTTAGTAACGTCTTGATTGAAGAGAAAAATCAGCCACGAAAAACCAAGAGTGTTGACAGAAGAGGAAAAAATATAAAAAATACAGAAATTTTTCCTCATCAGAGTCAAGGAGAAGAGTGCAACCTTTTAGTATACTAGCAAAAATTGAGGCATGGCGGTTGGAGGTGGGGTTATTAAGTGGGCTGGCCTAATGCTTTTTTGTTTTGCCAGTGTCTAGAGATGTACAAATCCCAGGAGCTCCGTGTGCTCCTTACAAATGACAGCTGTCTCCTAATTTTTGACACTTTCTCTAGTGTAGTCTTGGAGCTCAAAAGTATCGGTACATGTACTCGTACTTCTACCGAGTACTATACTTGGTATCTGTGCAACCCTAATAAAAATCGCAGATTTGCTGTCTAGATATTCTTCACATTTTAACAATTGCATTTTAATTATCAAATATTTAATTTTGTTATCGTTTATCATGTTTAAAATACATTTTTTTTATAAACAAATCTCCAATGTACCAAAAATAAAAATGGTAAAGCAGGGATTATTTGTTCTGACAGCTGACCACCAGGTACAAGGCCACATTTCAGTGTCTGCATACAAACTAAAACCCCCACGTTACTGGCAATCTGCATCTTTCCAATGATGGTGAATTGAAAGGGAACCTGTCACATAAACCCCCCTTACCATCTTGTCTTGAATTGTATTGTAATTGTAATGTCTTCCTTATATTGTAAAGCGCTGCACAAACTGTTGGCGCTATATAAATACTATGTAATAATAATTATACTAGCAAATGTAAATAATGTACCCTGTACACTATGTATGCGGAGTCTGCACTTCAGCACTGATTTGGACTGAATCCACAGCTCTGCCTGCCCACAAGTCATGCCTCTTTTCTCAAAGGAACCAATCAGAAGGTCCCCATTGTCAGCTAGGTTAGTAAAAACACTGCAGTCAGAAGTTACACATGAGCAATTCCCTCTGTGCACCATCTTGAAATAAACATGTCTTTCGCTTTGTATCAAACACATTTTTGTAAGGTGCTAACTTTACCCCCAACCCACATACACACTGTAAAGGAGAAGAAAAATGGTGGGTGTCTACACTGGGATTTGTAGGTAGTCTGGGACACAACTTGCCTATCTTCTCCATACCTACAACTAGGTTATATAAGTAACTAGTATTTTGCTGCAATAAATTAGGAAACATTTGCTTTATTTTTGACAATGACAATGGTTTTTCGACCCCAAGTATCGGTTGATAAAATGACAAGTGACAACGGAGGTCCTGAGACTCACTTCAGTTGCCATTACAAGTGGCAGATAACAAAAAAAACAAATGGCAAATCGATTAGATCATAAGACTCATTCCAAGTTGCATTTTAAATTACAATCATTATCATTCAATTACTCACGTGAGAAATCACATGACCCAGTGTGAATGACAACTGACAAGACATCACACGACCCGTGCCATTCCTTAGCCATCTAGATCCTCCAACTAATATTCCAGTATAACTGTGCTTTAAGTGTTATAATTAAGTTACGCTTCATTTTAGTGTGTAGTTTAACCTTCAGCATACTTTACCTCCTAAACTACATTTTCAATAATGAAATAATGAAAGTAAACAGTAGCCACCTGATCAACTGCCTAATGTAATGCGACTCTCACCAACTCTGTTTACTAAGCTGACTAATTGTCCATTAGCGAGCCTCATACTTTATATTCAGAATAAAGAAAAGACAGGTTTAACTCATTTACTCGTTCACATTCTATTCACTCCATACTTATTGACTATACAGAGCCAGGGGAGACGCTCTGCAATCACAACCAATAATTAGCCTATTAACTGATCTTGAACTAGATGACATCAAAGGATAAATTACATCACAGGTTCAACAGGAGTAAAAAAAAAATTGCTAGTTTGTTGCTGGGCAATTGCTGTTTTACTTGCTGTATCCCTCACTATCCCAGGAGCCAGTGTTCTCCTCTTCTCTCTGGCACTCCGGGTTGTTGGTGGGCCCTTGGCATCCTCACTCACAATGCAGGACTGCTGATCCTGCACTGTACAGGATGACATCAAAGTGCCTGCGACTGATGGAGTGACTGAGAGAAATGGTTTTGAGACTGCTCACATGGAGACTAAAGCCTGCCGGAGCGAGGGGCAGGTAAAACATGCAATAAACGCTTGACAGAGGTCATCACCCTCCCCTAATCTATCCAAAACTAAATTCAATGTTTAGGCTGGAGATGTGCTTTAATGAGAAATCATACACACTATACCCATTGTACTTGTGAGGAACTATCTGGCATAGCAACAGTTTCTCAGGCTTCTGATTGACTTTGGAGGATCATATTCAGTTCACCCAACATGCCATCTCTCCACGGCAGCTCATTACATGATGTTGACAATACTGATAAAGCAGTAAATGAGAACCACAGCTTTAAGGCCTCATTCATGAGGCATTTATTTCCGGAGGTGGACTCTCATCAGGAATCACAGGTCATTCTGGATACTTGTAGCCGCTCAGCCTCAGCAAAGCAAAGACAGGCTAACAGCGGCCTCAGCTGTCCGCCTGTGTTCAGATGTAACTGTGCATTGAGCAGTTATGTCCGGTTAGAGACAGATGACCACCCCTGGACCAAGCCGCTGTCAGCCTGCCTTTGCTTTGTACCTGTGATTTCTGCCGCAGGAATCTGCTGCTGGAAATAAAGGCCTTGTGTGAAAAAGTGTGTGAAATCTGACATACAAGGAAATGAAACAACACATTACAGGCTATAGAAACGTTTCTTCTTTATAGAGTAGCAGGAAGATTCACCTCTGACATGTTTTGCACTGTAAATAACTTTTTTTGAAGAATTTAAATCTTAAAAGGAGAACTATGGGGTCAGTGTTTTTCCCCATAGTTCTCTTAAGGGTCACGGGAGGACAAAAACTAGCATCCTCCCGTGACCCAAAGCCCAGTATATCGCGAGCTACAGCTCGCGTTATACTGAGACCACCACAGCCGGGACGGATCCCGACATTACTGTCGAGATCCACTCAGCTGCGTGAGTGACAGCTGGCTCTCCCTATCTAGAGGCAGAGCCAGCTGTAACCCGCCCCCTCCCCCGTCCGTCCCTCCACTCTGTGCTGGAGGATCAGAGCGGGGAGGGGGGAAATCCATGCGGGGAGTGGTAAATGACAGTCAACGCTCTCTGCAGGGAGACTATCGAGAAGTTAGCGGGCGACAGTATTTGTTCGCTCACTTCCCGATCTATTGAGCCGACATGTGACAGTTTCATTGTCACACATAGGCTCGAACTATGAGACTGAGTGATTTTCACTCACCTCATAGTTCTCCTTTAAAGGTTTCTGGGTTTTACGAGGCAGATTTACTAAAAGTAGTTGAACATCTTCACTTAAACCGAGTGAATATTCACTTCATTTATCCAATCATACTTTCATTCTGAGCACCCAATCAGGTATAGATAAAAAGTAAACAGCAACTTGCTTTCCACATGACTGGATAACTGAAATGAATATGCACACAAAAACTTGAGTGAAGATTCTCAACTCCTTTAGGAAATCATCCTCTTTGCAGCATTGTCTACCGCAGAAATAGTTATGAATGACACAGCATTTCACAGTGCCTGACAGATTGATCTGAAGACAAAAACTTAATGCAGAAGAACAGAACCAGAGACTTTAATTCATTCAATCGTATCTATTTGTTTTCAAACTTTTTTTGCCAGCTGAAGTCAAAAGTTGAACTGCGTTGTTTCAGCACTTCAAGCCAAGAATTATTACAACTCATGCCAAAACCAATACAAGTCCTTGGAGGAGAGGGAGATTACCGAAACCCCTTGTAACTACATCACACTGAGCACTGGCCTGCAGTAGATGTTTAAGACTGACCAGGCTAGTGCTGCCAGAATGGAATGTTAAGCAAGCATTACTTTATCAAGACAAAACAATGACAACCGTTTTAAAGATCAGCATGTAGAGTTACTTTTACCTTTGTTGAAGAGTGGATGGTGGAATGGCGGGACAGGGAGCTGCTCTGTCAGCCAGGGCTCGCAGAAGTAGGCTTGCAGCCAGGTCGTGCACTGTTCCAGTGGTGCAATCATTTCCGGAGGGCCCTCGCATACCTTGAACGATGCAGAGGCGTCCTTAGCCCTGAGAACAACAGAACATTAATGTGTTTTCCTTCCAACCATGTTGCTTTCCTGCAATAAATTAGCAAGTAAAATAAGCCAATATCAATGAGAAACATGCGTCCTCTTTTCAGAAACACTTGCATTCATAAGGTTATTTGCAATGAAAGGAAGTTATTAGCCAGAGATTTAAGGCATAGCGGTTACTAATGTTTTTACATTTCTTTACTCCAATTTGAAGTTAACGGGACAATAAAAAAAAAAAAATCCCCCATACGCATATGAGATCTTAGCATCCACAAACACAACAATTATAGGGATGATGTGATGTATTGCTATTGGTATTTAGGGCCCAAACAACATAATATTAAAGTTATAACGGTTTTTAAGCTATTACAAATGCTGATTAAATCACTTACAATGGATGCTGCTTCTTGATATTTAAAAGCTTTATCGTACTGTAGAATCAGCTGGTGCCCCTGAGCACTGGTCCTGATAGCCTGTTTAATAGTGGTTCTTTTCCCTTGCTGCACCCTTTAGAGCCACCCTTGTGTGTGCTAGTAAGTGGTGTGCGTCACTCCAAACAAAAAGGCACAGCGAGGCAATCCACTCCCCTGCTCCCCACTCCCAGCTAGTAAATGGACAGCTGCTGGAGACTGCTCTGTCCCAAGCTGAGAGTTGGAGTCAGAGGTTTGGAAACATAAGAGTTTGAGCAAAAATGTAAAGAAATACTTTGCTGGGCAATGTATATTTGATTGATCTGGATTCATTATTGAAAAAAGTTTGAGCATTTAACGCTACTTTAACCATTTGGGTGTGTTGCATGTTGAGTCGTGTTGACGTGCATTCCATTAAGGCAGCCTATTCATTTTTATTAGGCTGCCAACGCATGAGCCCTGATAAAAAATTTTTTACATGGATCATTACCATGCATCACACTTCAATGCATGTGCATCTGAGCTGCATTGTTTCAGTGTGTTGGGGTGCCATACAAAATCAATAACACCATAATGTACCAACTCACGTAACAAGCAATGCAATTACTTCAACACACGGCATTGCAAAAATGTGCTTTGGCCCTTAATAGTGATAATTACTAAAGAGGCTGAAGATTAGCTCAACAGCCAACCAGAGAAGGTGCAAAAGAGGCAGCTGAAAAACATGCCACAATCCCCAATCTTTACAGGACACCTTCATAGCCATCTTCCAAGTTCCTTCCAAGGTTAACCCCTCACTGCTCTGAATGATTAAAGATAAACTCACTAGATTAAAAAATGCAAAAGGTTAGGAGACCACTTATACATCTTGAGTGCCAGCATTTCAGTGCAGGACTTTTTATTTTCCTTTAGATAATGATGTATTTTACAATTCAAATTCACATTTGGTGGAATAGTGCAATATTTTGCAGAATGATTTGGAATTTTATTATGATTCAACTTTGTGTTCCAGTAAAGTTTTAAGCTGCACTCTAAATTGAAAATTAGGTACTGAAATGCAAAATGAGAGCCCAGTCTACCTAGTCAGGTCCCAGCTTTTTGACCAGGCAATCTCAACAGTATGCCCACTACAGACTTCTTGCCACCTTCCATTCCACCAATCACATCAGTCAAATAAGATTGGTGAAACAGGAAGCAAAGAGAGGAAGACTCAGCACAAGATTCTGGAATTACACTCTTAGTGAAACTGTGAGGTCTTCAATCAAATCCAATATCTATAGGTTTACCTGCAGGTAAATCAGGTGAACGTTACCAGTTTATCTCAACTTCAGTGTTTGCTAGACAACAGTATCATTATTTACTGCTGTCACCTGGAATTAATCTTTACTTTGTTACTCATAGTAGCCAATTAAATCCAGTGCTCAGACTATGGCAAGAAACAAATAATTCTTGTAGACACTTCTAATGTATGAGAGCCAATAAAACCCAGTTACTAATAGGAATGTACACTAACTGGATTTCCACCGGTGTATTTTGCTAATCAACAGTCTTTATGCTGAAGGATATTTTCCCTGTCCCTGTGTGACTTAATTTGGTATTTTGAATTTCCTGTCTGTGTTTGTATAGACAGAAGTGCGAGCTCCGCAGAGGATCCAGTTTTGGCCATGCTGCCACAAGGAAAGGGAACATCCAGCATGATTAACATATTTAATTGGCTGCTTCTTCAGAGACTTGCATCCCAAAATGTTTCTGCTGCAACAGACTGGCAAATACAGTTGGCCTTTTAAAAGATACACTGGGCATTAACAAAACTGGCCTCCTATGACCTCGGAGTGACTCTCACAAAATAGATGATGAAAAGTAATACACAGAAATGATCTTATCGTGGTGTATTTTACAGAAAGTAGAGAACATGTTCTAATTCCCCTGCTTCAGGGGAATTAAAACAAATAATCATGTGAATTCTGCAGCAAGAAATACCCTTTTAAAGCACAAGAAAAAACTACACTTGCAGAGGGGCCCCTAGCACTACAAGGGCTAAATGCTCATTAAGCCTAGGGTTAGAGAGATAAGAAGTAATACTTACCTTAATCCTTGCTCTGGCAGGCTCCTTTCATCCATGCAACCAGTTCTGCAAAGCCTGCTCTCCAAGGTGCTACCAGCCACAGTTGCACCCCTGTCTCCTGCACATACAGTGCAGGGCTATTAGTCCTGCATTGTATGTTATGTCGCCACGGGAACGCCCAAAGTGGCCTAAGTCTGCCAGAACTAGGTTTAAGGTGTGCATTAAATCCTTGCATTGCAGGGAATGGGAAGCAGGACATTGCTGCAGCCGGACACTACAAGAGGTTTTTTTCTCCTGGGCTTTAAAGGGCCAGACTATATATTTTTGGTTACAGTATACATTTCCAAACACTTTTACAGTGCCACTGGTCAGAATTGCAGCATTATGTTACATGATTCTTTGTTATGTACCCTGGCTCTCATGTTTAAGAATAAGTTGAAGTTTCAAAGAGCTTAAAGTGGTTGGTAGTCAAACCAGGGTACACCCTGACTTGGATTTTCAGTGGCTTAGATTCAGGGCCATTTGGAAGATAAGTATACGGAAAAAAAATCAGGATTAAGATAATGGCCACATTCACTTTATCTTATGAAGGTTTTTAATGCAAAACTTATTGCCTGAGTGAAATAAACTTTTACTGCAGTGTCCATGTTTTTCCACATAGAAAGGCATTGATGTGTAAGACATTTCTGGAAGTAGCAACATAATAAAGTGACATGTACAGAAAAAAATGAAATGCCACCAGTGCCTTCTCAATAAAAATTAAAGATACTGCACTCCGAAGCAAGCATCCAACACTCCTGAATATTAAATATTAGCTGTTGAGACACTACTGGCATCCATTCAATGGAACACAAATTAGCAGCCAAACTAACCACAGGAAACATACACCTTTAGGCAGGAATCTAGGCTTGCATTTTTGCTTAATGCACTATTTCATGATGGGAAAACAAAATTGATTTCTCGCAAAACAATTAGTTGCAATGTACCTCAAAGAGTGTAGCGCATGTCTGGCATTCTTTCAATGACAACAGTTGTGCTCCTTTACGGTTCCAAGGCTTTGGTTCAGCTTTGCTGATTTCAGCTCATGCTTAAAATTAAAGCATACCTGGCTCCTATATACAGCAAAGGCAGTTGATTTCACAGAAGTTACAATCTGTACACATAAGACCACTTTCACACGGGCATTCTGATCAGGCCCACCTGTAAGTTTTTCAGGTGAACCTGATTGGACGTTCACTGCTAGTCTGTGGGCTGCCGGATCTAAACCAAAACATGTGTCCGTTTACATCTGGTTACCCCCGACTCCCGCCAGGTCTGGAAAAACAAACAGATCAGAGTTCCATTTCGACAGGCCAGACTCTGCCAGATTGGAGGTAATCTGATGTAAATGGACACATCCGATTGCACCTGATTCCCCATAGACCAACAAGGGTCCGGTAATTAGTTTTTTCCTCCATTACAAAAAAAAAGGACAAAACTGGATGGACGTGGATGTCACAATGGTGCATAGATCCCCCGCGGATCGTAACTGAAGGTCCCTGTCTGAAGGAGACCTTAGAGTGAATCCTATCAATTGATGACAAACTAGGGGCCTCACTGAAGCATGGTGTTTGGAGTAGGAGCATCTCTGATAAAGTGATGTCATTACTCACAAACATGGGACTTTGCATAGGACTCTTGTGTTTGCAAAGGCCATGAACAACCTTGGGTCATAGTAAGGGTCATCTGTCATCTTTCTAAAACACCAATTATCAGGGTTGTAGGCACCATAATTTTAGGATTTAGGATCCTCCACCTTCCTTCTTGCAGGAGAGATATGTGGAGCCCATTTTCACACTTTGCATAGAAGTTAGGTGATGTTTACTTAGGCTGCCGAATGTAATATTTTTTTTTTTGATTGCTTGCATTCAGAACTTCCGGCAGAACAAAGCATTGGCATCCAGTCAGATCATGGCTACATACCACAGTACTATTTTACAGCATTTCATACAATCATACAGATTTACTGCTGTATACAAGATACTATCATGATTATAAAGATATTTCTAAATTGTTTCCTTAGAATAAAAGCAGTGTTCGAGTTACCTGCCCACCCCCATACAGAAGAAATGTTTTAACCACTGTACAGGGCTCATTTACAATAGCAATAAAATGGCTGTGGAGGTTTAAGAAGAAAATAGACATTTATAGATGAAGCAGAAAACCCTATTTAAGCAGCGGTATTTATAATCTGATGAGAAGGAGGTACGGTAAAGAACAGCACACTGCCAACAAAACATTATATGTCATGAGCAGACTCAATATGGCACAATCACAAAGGATCTAGGCCACGGCACATAACTTTGTAATGCAGAACATGGCTTACAACAAAATTCTATTACCCACTAAATATGAATTTCCATGCTTTAATATGTTGGCATAAGTATACTCATTGGCTCCATAACATCAACACCGCCCAGGGAGAAATGCTGCTGACTGGATGTCACAATAAGTCACATTTATTGCTATAGTTTTATGACC